TCCCCAGCCAGCTGGCTGGGGAATTCTGGGAGTTGAAGTCCTCCAGGCTTAAAGTTGCCAAGGTTGGACACCCCTGCTCTAAACGAAGGAGATATAAAATCCTACTGCGCCTCTGGTTTGTGTTCCACCCACTTCCGAAATACTCTGTGTGTGTATGTGTGTGCTTCTGAAAAAAGGCCCTATGTTGTTCAGCCCTGTGCCTTTATTTTCTTGATGTAGGGTAACTACTGCCTTTGTGGTAGATCACAACTTGGGTGCTTGGCCACCAAGCATGTATTTATGACAGTTGTATTGTCCTGGGGGTCATGTGATCATCATTTAGGACCTTTCCAGTGAACTTTTGACAACATAGTCAATGCGGGAAGTTGGATTTGCTTAATGATCATGCAGTTTGCTTAACAACCATGGCAAAAAGTCATAAAATTGGGCCCAACTCGCTTAACAACCATCTTGCTAGTTCCATTTGTGGTCATAACTCAAGGACATGATTGATATGGATTTCACAGTTTAATCATTATGACTGAACACAAGCATAATGCCCCCAAATTTTCTCCTTATTCTATCGGTTGGATAAAGAAACAGAGACATGCTTATAGAAGTGGATTGAATGTTGCCTAAGAAGGGGATTAATTGGGATCATTCACTGAAGTTGACTAATATTGAAATTTCCTTACATAGATGAGAGTATAAAGCGGGAAAATGGTGACGTGATGTCATCAGGTACTTGCATCAGATATTGGAACATGATTGATAAAAATATGGAATTTTTTATATTATAATAACATGATTTTGATGTCATTGTAGCTGGTAATAGCTGTTTATGCATCCTTTGGAAATCTGATGTCTAGATATTATTCTGGTTGGTGGTGTAGGAGTTAATTCCTGTTCTATTTCATTAATATATTTTTGGACAAATCACTACCAATTATGAGCCACCACTCATTTCTAATTCAAGGGAAACCAAATAATGTAGGGTTATATAAGGAGACCTGCATTATTTTAATTATCCAGAGGTCTACAGTTAGCAGACTGGAAAAATAGCTAAATTGGATAATTACTAGTTATAGATATAAGTATATGAATACTTTAGTGATTTGCAAAGTTTTTAGTTTTGAAGTTGGAGAGAAATGGAGTATAACATAAACCATATCTTTTATTATTTGATACGTTACTAGGAAATTTTGGTGAAAGGAAACATTGAACCAGCTGAGCTTTCTGAAGACACCTGCAAAAACTGAAGCATTTTGATTATCATGGAGAATTACAATGTACTAATGGAACTTGGGGAAGGATCATTTGGTAGAGTCCTCTTAGTCCAGCATAAAAGCACAAGACAGAAATATGCAATGAAAGAGATAAGACTTCCCAAGGTAACTATTTCCTTCCCTAAATTCTTCTCTTTTATCCATATAAGAGCAATAGCATTTAGACCATTATACCGCTTTATAGTGCTTCACAGTCCTCTCTAAGTGGTTTACTTAGAGAGGATTGTTGGCCTATTGCCCCCAACAATCTGGCTCCTTATTTTACCCACATAGGAAGGATGGAAGGCTGAGTCAACCTTGAGCCTGGTGGGATTCGATCTGCCAAATTGGAGTCGCTTGCAGTACTGCACTCTAACCACTGCGCCACTGAGGCTCCTACTAGTAATCCTACTAGTTAGAGCATTATAATACTTGTCAATTGGCTTTCAGGTGCTGGTTGTTACCCTTAAAACTCTTTATGGTTCAGGATTAAGATATCTATGGAACCACCTATTCACTAATAGTATATTGTTTGTCCAACAAGAATAATTTCCATCCAGGTTATCTTTGCTTCAAGAATGCTTCCTTCAGGGATCATGGAAGCAAGCTAGTCTAATAATTTCTGGTATAAGATTGTGCCTAACCAAGTCCAGGATACCTAGGGATTATAGTTATAATTTATGTCCAGTGAGTTCATCTCAGATGGGAGATTCATAATTAGCTGATCCCCATTTAACAACTACCATTGCCTTCAGAGATTTGGTTGATGATAAAAGCATAAGACAACTTTTGCATTAGTGGTGACCTGAACAAGGACCTTGTTGCCTCAAGAAATTGCTCTGCTCTCTTTAACTTTCTCTCTTCTGGTGGCGATGTCTTGTTAAATAGCATTTTCATTTGCTTTTTATCAAATGTTTGTTTAATTTTATATACTGATTCCCTTTGCTAAATGGAATGGTTGGTTCTTTTTGATTTTTTTTCTCTTCTTGCTGCTGTGAATTTCTTTTGAAGGATGCTCCTACATTTGTTTAAAAATATTATTTTACTATATTCATAAATATTAAGCCACTTTAATGAGCAAAAGCAAGAAATATAATAAGGAAAATATAAAACAATGAGTTATCTGTTTTTACTTACAAGTAAAAGTAATGTAAGTAATATATTTTTAGTCTGTCTTCAAGATAGAAAAGTCCTGGAATGAATCTATAATATTGGCTAAAATGAATCATCCAAATATTGTGATGTATGCAGACTCTTTTGAAGGTAAGTATGTGCATTTTAATAATTAATGTTACATGTTACAATTGCATTATTCAATTTGCTGAATTGCAAATGTCTTTTTATCTTCTTGATGTTTACTGTTTGTTACATTTCACTTGATGTAATACTAATGAATTTTAAAATTATTTAAAAATTAGCTGATGGACATTTGCATATAGTGATGGAATATTGTGATGGCGGAGATCTCCTACAAAAGATTAAATTTCAGAAGGGAAAATTGTTTCCGGAAGATATAGTAAGAATCCAAATATATTTAAATTTTTAAATAATTGAAATGGGAAACTCTGATGAATGTTGGGGTACGTGTTTAACACCTATTGATTTATTGTTATAGTCATAACAGTAGACCAAAAATGTTTTTAAAATGGAGCTAAATACAAAGAACATAAAGTAAAAAGTAAACCGGATAACCTTATAATGATTGTGCCACTAATAGTCCAAAATCAGGAGTGTTATATCATCTTTTCCAATTAACCAGTATTATTAAATCACGTCCACTTTTGAGAGCCATGGGTCGATTTATCAGGTAAAATTTGCTGGTCTGGAAAAGTGCTCCAAACTCCTGAAGTTTAGCTTCTGCAGATAAATACAGTTCTCTTTTTACAATGACACTAATATAGAGTTTCTTTTTGCACTATTATGCAATCTTTTGTATCAACTTGGCAGATCAGGCAGAATTTATAACTTTTCACTTTGAAAAGTAAATATTTCAAAGAATAAATCACTTCAAAACTATTATTTTGGGGGGAGTTTTGTACATATTTTGCATGGCTGTATTTGTAAAAGATAATGGATTGTTTCCATCCTTTAGAATCTGGAAATGTACTTTACATCCTATAGATCAGTAGTCCACAACTAGCACCAGGGACCAGTTCCATGGAGAGAGGTTTTTCCATAGGCCTGCATCCCACAGATGGGGGTTCACTTGTTGCGCGGACTGGTTTTTGGCATGCTGTGGCCTGGTAGTGGTCCATGGACTGGGGACCCTGTTATAGATGGTATCCATATACAATTCTTTTGATTTCAGATTTGAATAAGTGTTTAATTAAACATTTTTAGATGCAATAAAGTATAATTTCTAGGGTGGAACATGTTGCAAGTAGTTCATAGTAATCCAATATAAAATTTCTTTGAGATTAATCAGGATCACATATAAACTAAGGAATGAATTAGGAGTAGTATTCACAGCACTAATGCAGACTAGCCATAGAATATTTTGAAGTACTTGCTTGATTTCACATATTGTATCAAATTGTATGGCTACTGACTAATATTAGTCAGTAATATTGCTCTTTATTTCTCTTACAGTTCAGTTCATTGTCGTTTGCTGTGTTTTGTCTCTTTCTAGATACTTAAATGGTTTGCACAGATGTGTTTGGGTGTAAATTATATTCATGAGAAACATATATTGCACAGAGACATCAAATCAAAGGTAATTGGAATCTCCTCAGTAGGTTTTACTATAAAACTACTACCAGGCATTTCCTGTTTAGAATGTTGAAAACCATAAAAACACCTCTGCCATAAATTTCAGTTTAGTATTATGTTAATGGTATGTACAAATATTTATATGCATTCCTTTTTTTAATCAAACCACTCACATACCAATTACAGAGGGCACCAGTATGTTCCAAGGGAACTTTGTTCATGCTCACTGGACTCCCTTATTGACTTGACTTATTTAAAATATTATGTTAATTGAAATAAATCAGTAGTCTTCATGTTGCGTACCAAGGTGCAAGCCTTTAATATCAGGGTGATCCATGCCATAAAATTCCAACTGTATAGTAGTACAGAGAGCTGATTGCCTTCTATAAATGAGTGTGTTATTGCTGGTAATATCCACTCTGGCAGATATTCTAAATAGGCAAACATTCATTGAGCATGCTCCCTGAACATGGTCTCAAAATTCCAAAATTCCATGGCCCCAGCTTCCAGAATGGTCTGTGTCTCTTGTTTGCGCCCAAGCTCACAGTCAAATGGAGGTATGTGTTTTATCCAATGAGATAAGTATAGAGATTATTTGGAGTCCATTTGTGTCAGACTCATCATCTGAAATAACTCAATTCTTTTAATGTGATTTACTAAGGGAGATTTCCATGTAGGCTGAGATGGGACATTGTGATTAATATTTGGATATAATAGTAGTAAGAGGAAGAAGAAAGCAAGGGCATCTTGGGTTCAATCCCAAAACATCCAGAGCCATTGGCATTGACAAAATGAATCAGTCAATTGCAAAAGGCAGCTTTCCTAGGAACAGCTTATATTCTGCAAACAATATCTTTAACACCATCAAACAACATTCACTGCCTATCCAAGGGCCTTGAAAGGGACTCAGTGGTTGGATAAAAATGTCAGAGGCAGGGTAAACATCTGATTGATACATTCTGTGTGATGACTCATAATTATTATATTTATTAATGATCCTTAATCATCTAGAACATGGAATTAAACATAGTGTATAATAATAATAGGGCCATCAAATAGGGCTGATGCTATAAATACAGATGGAAATACAGGGAGTGAAATCTGTCTAATTTCTCTTTCATAATATAGAATGTATTTCTTACACAAAATGGAAAAATAAAACTGGGAGACTTTGGATCTGCAGTTCTTCTTAAAAGGCAAGTATATGTCAAATTGTGTCTAGAAATCTATTCTGAAATTAAAAAAAAAACCCTAATGGCTGGTTGCTGTTGGATTATTTATCTGTTCATCACTAACGTATTTGTTTTTGGACTAGCCCCATGGCATATGTTTGTTCATATGTAGGAACCCCTTACTATGTGCCTCCAGAAATTTGGGAGAATATGCCATACAACAATAAAAGGTAAGAATTAATCGAAACGTATAAGAACCTTGATTTTAAAACTCTGTAATATTGGAGAACTAATGGAAAAATTGTATACAGTGCTCACAACTTGCGAACGTTACTCAATTTACAAACATGATTCAAAACTAAATATTTTATGCAATTCTTTAAAAATATTTTTAAAATAATGTAAGTAAGAGGAGTGTATTCCATGCAAAAGGTAACTTCTTAAGGCAGTTTTTAATAATCTCAAATCTGGGGAGATCCTTATAGCATGTTAGAGTTAGTGCCCCCTGAAATTTAGAAACGGTTACATATGTATCTTGCTCGTGTGAAGTGGAATCTGACTGCTCAAGAAAACATTCTTGGGTGGAGCAGACAGATCCTGTTGTTTAAATGACTAAGTGCATGTTTACAGCCCATAAATAGGAACTCCTCTTTGGAGAAACCATTTAGCAAGTTAGTATTTTGAGTTTTTCTCTCCATCTATTAACTTTTGTTATGTTATTGATCAATCTTTTAATTGGTGATCATAACAACAGGTTTGATTTGATTCCAGCAAATGATAATAATCAAGTGATCCTCTAAATAAAAGAATGGATTAATTAATAGCAACCTTCCTTTCCTACATTTAAGAGACTAGGCTGCCAATAAAAGAATCAGTAGCACAGGAGAAAACTATAATACAGTACAACACTCAAACGTTACTATCTGGAATGTTGGCAGCAAGATACTAAAATTATATTTACATCCCGCCCCCCCAAATAAACTTAGTAGGAATGGTGCTGCTTCTGAAAAAAATAAACTCAAGTCTCACTCAGGAAGAATTCTGATATTGAAAATAGTGGCATTAATTAACTTACGTCCTCGTAAGAAACTAAGCATGATAAGATTTTCTCTTCACCTTCCCCCTGCTGTCCTTTGAACAGCTCAGTCTTGTTCTGTTCGGATCAGGACTGAGCTCACTTGTCATCGTGTCTAGTTGCATTTTAATTTCAACATATAACAAGTTGATTTGCTATTGGAGAAAAACAGACGTAACATTTTGGTAGGATTCAAGAGCCTATTTAACATGTCCTTCTGTTTTCTGCTTCACTCTCCCAGTTTGTTCTCCTTAGATTTTAGTTCAGCAACCCCTGCTTCCTACAATTCTTTATTTTGTTATGTTAAACTCTTGTTGTGATACAACAATTAGGTAGAACTGCCTCAACACTACAGTACATGTTTATGTAGTACCTGACATTCTATCTGACATAGCTATTTTTAATTCCTCATATAGCACTTTAGCAACAAAAAAGGGGAAAAAAAACCCCTCCTAACTTATTTTTAGCAAATGTCATGCTAATTATACTCTCAAGCTAACATTTAATCTTGCTTTTTTAGTGATATTTGGTCTCTGGGCTGTGTTTTATATGAGCTGTGCACCTTAAAACATCCAGTGAGTATTCTTTTTTATGTTTTATTTCCAGAAAAATATGCTTAATTTTGTAACAAATACATACTAGAATGTGTTATAGAACAACATAATGTAGCTAGATCTAATGACACTAATAATTAGCCCTGTAGGCCACATAGTAAACATAACTGAGATTGAAAATCAAAAAAATACAGTATAAGTGACAGGTTTCATATCAGAGATGAAAACAAATCTCAACTTCCCAGAGACTAAATCCCACATTTAGTATGTTTCTGGGCAGAAATCTCATTGATCTGAAATACCTAGATTATTTTTTAGTTTCGAGAAAAATGAAATCAAATAACAGAAAATATGTGCCAATTGCAGGAACAGCTTTTAAAGCCCGTGTGCTGCATAGGTCTGTGCTCCAAAAATTAAGAGTCTCATTAAACTAAATTTTAATTTCATTTAAAAATTAAGAATTCTTGGCTTTTTCCTCATACTCAAGATTATGAAAGGCTTCTGGGTGATGTTGATAAAAATGGTTTACCCAAGCTTAGGAATCACTGGTTCCTGTTGTACTGCATTTATTCCCGACCATAGAATTCTTACTTCTAATGTATCATGCACTCTTAGATCATTCACATGAATTGTGCAAAGATGATATGAATTAATTTTTGTGGAGTTTTTTTAATAAATTAAAAGTGTTAGTACTTATTAAGCTGTATGTTTTTCCCGTATTTGTTAAATTTAGTTTCAGGCTAAGAGTTGGAAACATCTTATACTTAAGACATGTAAAGGATACTACAATCCACTTCCATCACACTATAGCTATGAACTTCACTATTTAATAAAGCAGATGTTCAAGATGAATCCCAAATACCGTCCATCAGCTAGTACAATTCTTGCAAGAAAATGTCTGGCAAAATATATTGGACAGTCTTCACTACCAGAGGTAATAGCATATAAATGAATATTGCATTTGGGTCAGAAGTAGGAACCGTGTTTCATGTCTCGTGGGCTCACCTGCTGTACCTAGTGACAGCTTTTTAGAAAGCTACAGCTTTTCCGTGGCAGATACTGTGGCTACAGTCATTCCCACAAATGTGAGTTAAGGAAGCACTGTCTTTGTATGACTTCCTTTCTCCAAGTTTCTTCTCCAAAGATATCACATGGACATATCAAGGCATGCCCAAATTACCCATCCCACTGCATACTGGACCAGCTGTAGTTTCCATGAAGTCTCCAAGGACAGTCCCACATGGAGAGCATTACATTAGTCTAACTGTGAGATGACTAGCGGTATGGGTTACTGTTTGAAGAGCCTCCCAATCTCGAAAGAAGGATATCTGATGCACTGGTAGTAGTTGGGCTGAGGCCCCGTTGGCCACAACTACCACCTGATTTTTGAGCAGGAACTATGAGATAACTCCAGATTGAGGAGCACTCTTAAATGGGGAAGTGCAACTCAACCCAAATCTAAAAATGAAAAGTCTCCAGATTTGGGGGGTGGGGTGGGGGGGTGGAGCAAAAATCCACAGTCATTTCGTTTTCGCAAGATTGAGCATATCTGTGTCTCCACATCCAGACCCGTACAAATTTCAGGTATAGGTCATTGACGGCAGCACTTGGCCTGCTCAAGATCAAGGCGAACAATTTGTGTCATCCACATATTGATGATAGCAGTCCCCAAACTAACAGATGACGTCCCCCAGGGTTTTCTGGTAGAAGTTAATAGGAGGCGAGAGTGCATCAAGCTTTGAGGCATCCCACAGATGAGTGCTCATTATGCGACTTCTCCCCCTTGCTTACACTGACTGGAATTGACCACCAAGAAAGAAAACTCATTATAATGTGCTACCCATAATTCCGAAACCATGCAGCTGATGCAGAAGGATACTGTGATTGAGGATATTGAAAGCCACTGAGAAGTCACAAGGATGGACATACCACCATTCCGGGGTCATTAGATGCCATCAGCAATGTGACTAATGCCATCTCCATACTGAATCCACCCTAAAACTTGGCTGAAATAGACCCAGATAATTGGCTCCCTTCTAACCACTGGTCAACAAATGTCCTTAAAAGGATTGATAATTATCCCAAATCACCAAGGCTAAAGATGGTTTTTTGAGGAGGGAGTACACTACTAGCTTTTACAAAATTGAAAAAAAAACACCCACTTTTCTCTGAAAGAAGCTTATACAACTGTGTGCACTTGGGCAACCGGGTACCTCCCAAATAGTCTTAGCAGCCCAGGAGGGGCCTAGGTCTATCAAGCAGGTAATGGTCCTCGTTGTTTGGAGCAGGAGTCTCCAACCTTGGCCACTTTAAGCCTGGCGGACTTTTAACTCCCAGAAGCTTTGCTGGCTGGGGAATTCTGGGAGTTGAAAGTCCGCCAGGCTTAAAGTGGCCAAGGTTGGAGACCCCTGGTTTAGAGGATGCTGTGACATCACTATTTGATGTCAAATAATGTGTGACATCAGAGTCACACACTGTTTTATCCTAGATAATTTCACAAGAGGCACTTCAGATGGACTAGCCCATTCAGAATTCAACTCTGAGCATACCTGATAATTAGAGCATTCTTCACAGTGTCCCTGCTGTTATTTCTATAACCCATCCCTCCCCAGCAAGATCACAGTATCTTAAACTGTGCTGGTGGTTAATTATTCACCATTCTAATCACCACAGCATAATCCTGAGTATGGACTTTTATGTTCAATCAGACCTTGTCTTTCTCCAACAGTACTTCAGGAATCTATTCCAGCACTTTATTTCCTTAAACCAAATCATTCTTTTTTACAGTGAAATGTCACTTGGCATTTGAGATCAAGACTCTTTTTTGTGTGTTTGACAGCATACAGTTTAATTACTAAAGAGTTGGTACTCATAAATGTTTTTAATCCCCCCACCCTGCTAAAAAAGGGATGTATTTAAATGACTTTTTCCAACAGAACATATTTTTCTTTCCTGATTTTCCTGAGAGTATAGATTTTCCCCCCTTTGTCTTATTCATATGCAGCTTTTACATCTGCTCGAGAGTTTTAAGGATCATCCTGAGGCAAATATAGTGAACATATGTGGAGTGAACATAAGAGCACAGGAAAGTCCTGTTATGTAAATGGATGCTTACTCATATAATATTGAGTATAGTATGATTCCCAACTAGCTAGGTTGTTCAGTTAATATTGATATCTTAATCTTAAGAAGGAGGATGGCACGTATGCAGGAAGCAAGAATTCAAAGCCAGAAGTCATATCCAAGAACTTCAGTGAAATGGAATTGAAGAAAACAAGTGTGGATGAAAAAGGTACACGTTGAATTTAGAAATGATCTGTTTGGAGACCATGGTCTGAGATGAGTTTTCATAAGGTTGTGTGGCTTACACCACCGGTGTAATTAAAGCTTTTCTGACGATGCAGTCCTAGGAACGTTTATCAGAATTCAGTGAGACTTGCTACTGAGTAGGATTGCACTTTCGAACAATAAAGAAGGTCAGTGTGTATACCATAGTGGAGATTTTTTCAACACCTTTACCTTAAGGTTCTAAATATAGTCTTTACTTACGAATAAAGGCGGATATACCTGTCACAGGATGATATTGCAGGATCCAGTTTGAGGAGGTCATTGGGACCAGAACCAGATTCTCCAACTTCTGCTAGAGAGAAGTTCCCTGAGGATGGGCTCCAACACGAGTCCAAAAGCTCGGAAGACTAAAACGTTGTTCCCAGTGACAGACCCAGATTGGATCCTGCAATAGTCTTTTACTTTCTTAGATTTTCATGTTTGAAACTTTATTTTTATTATGGGGGCAGGGTTATAGAAGATGAAATCTGAATTGTGTGAGCCAAAGATTATTCAGCAGGAATTTCTTCTCTGCTTCCTGAAGATATCTGTGCTTTTCCAATACATTCTTGAAAGTCTGAAATAGTACAGATAAGAACAATTTCTTTTGTCAGGCATTTCTCTGGTCTTGCCATCTATGATCTTAGGGTTGGGTTAGGAATGTCCTGGATACCATCACAAATTGTCAGGCTGATATTTTTGGCTCCTTTTTGTGCTTTAGATTTCAAAGGCGGGAATTGGAGAGGGAGACAGTGCTATCGTTATCATGCCTAAAATTAGACCACAAAATTTGGCCATTTTGTTTCCAGTCAATGGCAAGATACTAGATCCTGGGAGTCCACAAATAGGATACTGGAGCTACCTCTACCTTAGAAGCAGGTTGGTAGGAAATAAGGGCTATTATGAAAAAAAAAATCACTGATCTTTCTGCAAAACCATTCTTTTTCAAGGGCTTCATATTTCAGCCATACAAAATACTATACCGATTGTTGGAGTCAATGCATATTTGAGGATTCTACCAATTTTTCCTAAAACATTTCTTTAAAAGGTTTTCCCAAATACTGTATTTTTTTTCCAGAACCTCAGAGACAAAAATGGGAAAAAGGAAGATGCAGTACAGTGATCAAAATTTTAGAAAATGCTCCTTTACTTTCTTCCAGTATTGCATCCAAGGAGGACACGGGTAAGATAATATACATGTTTATTTGCATATTTTATAGTATTTGCCATTAGAGACATTTTTAAAGATGGTACTCTTCCCCCACGCCTGCCCCAATAATCTCAATTTGTGTAAGAGACGATGAATGAGAAGAACGAGTTGGATGTTGAATGAGAAACTGTCAGGGCTATATTCTTAGCACAGAGAGAGAATATAGGTGAAATAATGGGTAGGTTTGCCCCATAGGAGACATCTTCAGCCAAACTCTACTGGAATTTTGGGGCTTGTATATTTTTGACTTGTATATTTTTTATGTCAGTGTGGAACATATGGAAAGAGAAATAGGTTCCACAAACTGTGGGTGAAGAATCCTAAATCTACAAAATATTTAAAAAGCTGGGACAAAAGGATATAATTTGAAAGGTGTGAGGGGAAACCAGAGAGAAAAAGAGTTTTATGTTTGATTAATTGGATAATTCTGCATTTAGGTTGTCCAGAATGTTTTACTAATTTATCTGGAAACAGTTTTTGCCCTGATCTGAGAGAATGATGCCAGACATCAGAATGGTGGGAATGGTATTAGAAACTGATTCCAGAAAACCATGTCAGTTTTATATTGATGCTGTCTTCCCAAATCTAGGTGGCTCTGTGATTTGCTTGCTTTAGTGTAGTTTGTTCCCAACTTCTCTGCTACTTTTGGTACCTTTTTGGGAGGACAGAAACCAAGATTAGAAGATGCTAATTCTCAAAGAATTCAGAAAGATTGGATTCATTCTAAACTGAGATTGGTGGTTGTTATCCCTTTTTGATGATATATACTGTGGACAGTAGACAGGGCAGACACAGGTCATTTTCTGTATGTAAAAATCTTGAACTGGGTTTCACTGAGTGATGTGTTACAAACAAGACCTTAATGATTATTTAGATTGACTATCTCACCACAGGCCATAAATAGTCTCTTGGAGGTTCAGCACTAACCATTAAAAGGTGAGTCTGTTTGAATACTGTACATTATCCAAGAGCCAGTTTAGGGCTTTTCAAACATTTGTGATTGAAACAAATAGTAAGAAAATATAGTTGCATATAGTAGTTGTACATTTATAATTGCAGTTTCAAGATCTGTGCCATAGAGCTGCATCATATGTTGATTTATTTCATTTTGGGGTTTTTTGGTCACTTTTTGTTTTTCTATGCAATCCTCAGATTTTCTGTGCTCGAAAACCTTTCTGTGAGACTCGCAGGAGTCTTCTCCAGCACCGTAGTTCAAAGGCCTCAATTCTATAAGTCTTCCTTATAGTCCAACTTTCACACTCATATATTGCAATTGGGAAAAGCATAGCCTTGACTATACGCTCTTTTGTTGGCAGAGTGATGTCTCTGTTTTTTAGTATGCTGTCTAGATTTGCCATAGCTTCCTCCCCAGGAGCAAGTGTCTTTTAATTTCTTGGCTGTAGTCCCTATCTGCAGTGATCTTGGAGCCCAAGAAAATAAAATCTGTCACTATCTCCATTTCTTCCCCATCTATTTGCCAGGAATTGAGAGGGCTGGATGCCATGATCTTAGTTTTCTTAATATTGTGTAAAGTGTGCTTTCTTTCAAAAGATAAAAATGCTACAAAGATATACCTTGGCATGGGTTCATTAAACATACAGTAGCTAAATAAATTGAATGTAGTTTTGCTTGCCCACCACCAAAATGAGAATTACTGGTTTAAAAAAAAGAGTTTCATTTTTTGTAGTCTTAAGTTTATTTATGGTATGTAGTGTTATAACATTCTTTTTGGAAGGTTTCTGGCAATAGTTTAAGGTGTTTATTTTAAGTTCTGTACTTTGAGATAGGAAAAAGGATAATTGCTCCAGTAATACTATATTTCTCTTCTTTGAATTAGGTGGCTGTGTGAGAAAATATGATGAAAATGTCAAACGTAAACAGTGGAATAAGGAACCTTCACAGACTTTGATGAATATTCTTGACAATGCTGATGTTAGCTTAGCTTTTAAGACATACACAATCCACAAAGCAGGTGAATCTTTTTCCCCCATCATAGCGAGAGGTTCACTTCACTGTTCTTAGAATGTGATCATGGATATGTGCTTTTAGCATGTGATGTTCATGGTTTGGAGATTGGGAAGGTCTTACAAAAATGAAATTAAAGTTTTTAAAAGTTTCAGTGAATCAGCATAGCTGCTATGGATTCTGGCTTTGAATTCTCTGGATGGCACCTTCAGTTCCTGCTGTTCCAGAATGAACTGGCCTACTTGCTTGTCACTACCTTCTGAGGTTTCTAGGATAAGTTTGGTGCTAAGTCTCAGTGTGAACTAGAGTTAGCTGGTGGTTTTAGTAGATTTGCAGGCAATGGGGATTATAAATGCTCTGGATAGGAGATGTAAAGAGCAGGTGATGGGAGGGTTTTACCTTACCTATAAAGTGCTTGTTTGGTTGTTTCTTTTCATGTGCTCATTGATTTCTCCTGATGAAAATAGAGAATCAAACTGGTGGTGGATGAGGAGATAGTTGGAATGGGCAGGTTGTACTTAAGGGCTATGTGAAAAAAATAAGGAGCAAGACATAGTTTTATTGACTTCCTTACTGATTTTTTAAAATATCTGAATAGAATATTTGCACTGATTTTTAAATATTAAAGTTTCAGATGACCTACTGAGAGGACCACTCACAGGAGAGAACAGTGCATCTGATGAACCAGATGGTGAAACTTTTATGGAGGATGCAGAGAGACTTGAACCTAGATCAGATGAAGAGGACACGTATGTTGAAATACAGTGTGAAAAACTAATCATTTGAATTCTTTTCTATTTTTTTAAACATGTCTCATAAAAAGTCCAATTGTGGCTTCATGCCATTTTTCAATTGTCGGCTGTATTTATCTATTTTTTGATCAGATTCCCCCAACTCTATCTGTCTCCCCCTTGCCCTCCAATTCTGCTTCAATCAGCAGAAGTCTTGTTCCTCCATGTGACATTCCTAATTCAGTTTAGGAGCAGGTATACTATAACGTGGAACAGATTCTGAAATAAGTTCTCAAATAAGCAGATGGGCAGAATTAAACACAGAACATAAACATTTCTTTCAGACATTCAAAACTTTTCCCAGAGAAAAGAACCTTTATTTTACAAGCACGTATTATATATGCATTTTGACTGTAATGGACAACAGAACAGATTGTACAGAAGAATTATAGAATTTATAGAATAATTTTAATGGTAAAAATACCCCCTGGGAGTCCTGAGGGTTTCTCATCAGAAAATATACGTATTCAGTAGTTACGGATTTCTTTAAATGATAATCCCCCTTTTCTCCTCTTAATTGTTCTTTTATATTTTTTATAGGGATTTTGAAGCAGAAGATGATCCAGACTGGATTTCTGAATTGCAAAAGATGGAACTGAAGAAAGAACTACCAATACATAATCCAGTATCAGTGCAAAAATATTGCTGAACCATTTCAGAAACTAGCAGCAACAAGCTAATTGATACATAATGATTTCACACATATTTCTTTGAGGAAGAAAATTTAATTTGGGATATTTTTTGATGCTTATAGGTATAACAATTAAATTCTTCTTAAAGATACTAAAATAAGCATTTTTACCCAGAATTTTTTATTCCATATAGAAATATTCTGTCAAAATCAGAAGTACACTGTATTAGAGGACCAACTAGGATTAGCACAGTCTGAGATATAGAGAGCAAGATATGACTTTCATGTTGTTCAGTGGTGTGATTCAAAAATTCCCAAGACATGCCCACGGTTCTGTGGGCATGGCTTGATGGGCGTGGCAGGGGAAGGATACTGTAAAATCTCCAGTCAGAGATAGTATTTGCCAGTTCTCCAAACTAATCAAAATTTCCATTACTGGTTCTCCAGAACTGGTCAGAACCTGCTGAATACCACCTCTGATGTTGTTCCTCTCTGTCTTTTCATATTCCTGGGGAGTGCCCGAGGGAAGATTGAGACTGGACTTCATAATATGGCAAAATCTAGATAAAAATTAGCATTAATTATATCTATTTATTTATGTGTTTTGCAATTGTTAATAAACTTGCTCATTTCAAATCTTCCTAATTTCCAAAATGATATGTCTTTCCTCAGTGTGATTTCAGGAGCTGTGACTTTCATCTATTTCTGCTTCTTGTGCTTCAGTTATATAATTCATATTCATTGAATGCAGTTAGGGAGCTATTTATCCCAGTCCCAGACGGGAAGCCTAAGGAGGACTTAAACAGTTGGTTCTCAACAGGATAGATGGTGGCAGCATAATCACCCTGCCATTACAGTGGTGTCCTATCAGGATTTTTGCAAAGGAATCTAGTTATCTCTCCACAGTCTGCCTATTTGTTTATTTCAAACATTTATATAGCTTCTCATCTTATGTTAAATTCTGGACAGCTTACAGTTAATAAATAAACAAAGAAATAAAGTATTATTAAATAAATACAATTAGTATGTAATTTTATTTATAATGAGCATGTAGTTTTACTTATATATTTAATAATACATTATTGAATTTACTATAGTTATCTTAAAATATCCACAATTAGTGCTGATCACCAAATTTATATGTTAAATTGAATCTAGTAAAAACCACACTTTCAGACTCTTAATGTATTTTCCTTAAACAGGATCTTAGTAGATGTGTTAAATTTCTTTCCATCTTAGGCAGCCTAGTTGATCATTCTGGGTATGAATTATGGAAGAGAATTGGAATAGATATATTGACTTTAGAAACAATCTATATAAGCCATGTCAAAATTACATATTCCTACTGTTAGGCAATAGAAAGTGACTAAATTTGTTTAATGTACATAAAAAATTCATCATGTAATTGTACATATGTTATCATTTGTCCCTTCCCATAGATGATCATGCTTAGACATTGCCCCTTGATATAAAAACTTGTGGAGTAAGTCTGAAAATGTTATAACAATACTTTCAAATCATTACTTTACACAATTGGTAAACTGCTATATGTGTTTTAATATATTTTAGTGATGGTTGTGGAGACGGATTGTTTTTGTTAAGATACTACCTAATAGAAAAAAATCTCAGTGAGGCTCAAGCATGCAACACATAAAAGATTCAATATAAATGATTTTATGGTGACCCCAAAACCTAAACCTCTGTTATCTTGCATATGAAAGTTCATATTTATTGAGGGTTTTTTTACTGAAGTGTACTGGTTGTTATCTGCTAAAAAGATGTCAGTGAAAAGGACACAAAGCTAAAAATTTCTTTTGGGGGGGATACTTTCAAGTACCAAAGTATATGTTTAGCAAAAAAAAATACATAATTTTTCATGCAGAATGTTATACTTTAGGGATTATATTCATTTTATATTAATTGAAAATGCGACACTAGTAAAAACTCCCAATAAATGTTACAGCTTTTGAAAAATGTTTTTCTGCAAGAGGCTCCCCCCCCCCAAGATACCTATTGAGAAAAAGAAATATATTCTGATGAAATTTTTTAAGTGTCTCCCAGATGTGAAGGTGCTTGGCAAGCAGAGCATTGTCTAGAATTCTTCCAGCTGAAATAAGACTTTCAATTATCTGGGAATAAATCCATATTAAACCAAGTCAAACTTTTAGTAGACATTCACTGTGTAGTTTGGCTAAAGCCACATTCTGCCCTGTGTGTTTTAGGATTCTTGTTCTGTGGTTTTTACGAAAGTATGAAGGAATTGGAAAGTTGGGGTGGGTGGGGGTCAACGCGAGGAGATGATGTGCAAACTACAAAGCTGTTCTTCTGCCTGACACCTATTTTCGACTACTGTACATAATAGAAGAGGGATGATGGGAGCTGTAGTTTTAACACCCTGAAAGGCGTCAGATTGCGGGAGCCTGCACAAACCGATCCGTAACCCGGGCGATAGGGCGGGGTGTAAAGAAAACACGCCTCCGCGGGCGCTGAAGAAGCTGCTGCTTCCACCGTCTGTGGAACTTAAGGTAATTTAGGCGGTATAATAAGTTGATATTTTCGGTTCTGGAGGACTATTCCTTTCCCGCCCCCCCTTTTCAAGGGCGCAGCAAAAGTGTCCCGCCGGCGGGTGAATGGCGGAGAAAATAGAGCTGCGGAGCTCGGGCAGGCAAGGGAATCTCCGCCCGCGCGTCGGTTCTGTTTCCTTGGCAACGGAGAAGCGGAAGTTCCCCGCCTCCTTGCAGAGGGAAAGGGATCCTGTAAGCTTCACTCTTAATGAGGTTGTCAGCTCAAAACTAACATAGGTTTGCTCAGAAGTAAACCTCAGTAGATAACTGGGACTTACTCCTGAGTAAAGCGTGTGGAAAGTTGTGTAGCCTGCATCCCTTTTAAGGCGCTTCAGAATAAGCAAATTGCTTAGTATTTATCAGTCTATTGCCGAACAGCCACTCGCCTCGAATTCACCTCTACATGAACGGGCGGATTGCGTAGGATCCTCACTTCTAGGGAAAAGAGAGCAAGGGATCCACTTTCTAGAGATAACTCTGAGTCCGCTTGGAAAGGAATTAGGAACAATTTAAATAACCAGTCAAAGGTTATATACAGTATATTTGCATGTAGTTTTTCTTCTGCCATGGAACTTGCATGCATATCCTAAGCTGTCTTCCATCTGGATCCAGCCACAAACCAAGGATCTCTTAAATAGGCCAGACAGCTGCCTTTTCCAACCTGGTGCCATCAGATGAGTTAGAATGTAGCTTCCATTTCCCCAGAAGCTAACAGATAACAGTCAGAGTTGGAAGGGACCTTGTAAGTCATCTAGTCCAACCCCCTGCCCAGCAGGAGACCTTACACCATTTCTGACAGATGGCAGTCCAATCTCTTCTTGAAAGTCTCAAGTGATGGCGCTCCCATAAGAAAGTTTCTCCTTATTTCCAGGTTAAAGAAGAGAAGATGATAGAAGAACATCTCTAGGATACAAGATTGGGAAAGGCTGCAGCCATAGGCTACAAACAGGGTGATTGATTTTCACATATAACACACTTTCATCCTCTAAGTTCAAAAATTCTGTTATTTCATGCATGGACATTTCACAATAATTCATCTGAAATGATTATAATTTCCTGTTTTGTGACTGCTTCATTTAAAAGGATAGGGATACTGCTCTTTCAGTTGTGAGTATCTGACCAAGAAAAATAGATATTAAATTTTTTAAAAGGAAAAGAAATATACAATGGAAAACTAAAGGTTACACTTTGAAGTAAAGTTTCATATTTAAATACTAAGCACTACATTCTTTTTGTTTTTGATGTTTCTCCAAAACTCAGGATTATGGATAATTATGTAATAATTAAAATGATTGGAGAAGGAGCATTTGGCAAAATATTCTTAGCCAGAAAAAAAGAGGATAATCAACAATGTGTTATCAAGGAGATCAATTTAACTAAGGTAATATCTTTTATAATAGTTTTATGTAGCAAGTTAATGTTTGGTCCAAGGTGAAGATGGCAATTAGATAGAAAGATCTGCCTAATGGCAGCAATAGTACCATTAGCAATATTTTAGACAGCTTAGAATTTGTTTGAATATTTGACATAGGATTAAGGTTAAGTTCTGAAGAAGCATTTTTAATATCTTTGCAGGAATGAAAGTAAGTTTGTCTTATTTGTGAGTGCTACTGATAATAAATTCAATGTGTTATTTAGTCCAAATGCTATTGCTGTTTCTGAGGTTCCATGACAATTTAAAGTTCTAAAAATATTATGTGTAGCCCTTTAAGGAAGTAGTCCGTTTCTTAAAGGATGTTGAAAGAAAGTGATGAAATGTGTTATAGTAACTTTTAAGTAACTTTTAATTGTGAAATGATGTTAATATAACAAAAATATTGCTTCACATTAATTCCCAAGTTCACATTAAAACAAGAACTTTTATTGGAAATGTTTGTTCAGAGGTCCTCAATTTAAGGAAAATTACACTAAGCTGCATTCAGAATTCTTTAAATATTTTTGTGGTATTCCTATAAAGTCACATAAACAATAACAACTTGTGTTGCACTCTTTTTAAATAAATAAAGATGCCAGGGAAGGAAAAAGAATCATCTCAAAAAGAAGCAACTCTTCTAGCCAAGATGAAGCATCCTAATATTGTAGCTTTCTACACTTCCCTTCAAGGTATCATTCTGATCTATAGCTACAGGTAGTCCTCGACTTACAACAGTTCATTTAGTAACCATTCTAAGTTACAAGGGCACTAAAAATGTCTCATGACCGTTTTTCCCATGATCATGTGATCAAAATTCAAACTCTTAGCAACTGTCATATTTATGACAGTTGCAATTTATGATGGGTCACCTTTTGTGACCTTCCGACAAGCAAAGTCAATGGGGAAGCCACATTTATTTAGCAACCATGTTCCTAACTTAACAACTGCCATGATTCTCTTAACAAATGTGGCAAGAAAGGTTGTAAAATTCACAACAAATATCTCTCTTAGCAACATAATTTTTTGGCTCAGTTGTCATAAGTCGAGGACCTGTATTTTGGCTAACTCTTAGAATAGAGCAACAATAAATAGCTGCTTCTAAAATTTTGTCTTTTGAAAGGCACGCAAGTACTTTCTGCCCAAAACTTTAAAAACCAGGTTTTGGAGATTGTTTCTTTGAGTTTATATATGTATATATGTATGTATTTCCTTTTATTTTCCTGTGGGGACTAATGTGATATTCATGATCATTGTTAAGATTGCTTGGTTGGCTTTCACTTCACTTTGGTAGTTTTTAACTATTATTTTTATAACCTATAAGCCAATAAAGAGTGATATGAGTTCAGTGGGGTAGAGTAATAATACCTTATTTTGCTTCTAGTTACCTAACGCCATGTATGTTTACATGAAGAGTGTTGAGGAGATGAGTATGGTATCTACCTGCAAAAGGAAACAATAAAGAGCCCCTTATTACATTAAATACAGAATATTAGCAGATGTCACTTATAACTTTGGGGTAGAGCATTTAGCCATTTTAGCCTGAGGTCAAGAAGCAGATAACTTTAGAGATTACAGGGCAGTCCCATTGACTAAGTAACAGTCCACACTCCTCTCCAGATCTCTCTCTTGATGAGACTTAAGGACCTGGGTTTCTTTTAGATCAATATTTTTACACCCTGAGGAAATACTAAACAGGTATGGCTCTGAAAATGTATGTGTGTGAGTATGTATGTTGCAGAATCAAAGTTGCATGCCTCAAATGCAAAATACACTGTTAATATTAGCAGCAGGCTTTGTCTTCATATCCTCCATGTGAGCTTTTCAGTTGCATCATCAGCCAGGGTAGGAAATAAAATACTAGACAAGG